CTCTCTCCCTCCCCTCCCCCCTGTCTGCCTCTATCCCTCCCGTCCTCTTGTTTTCTTTACAGAAAGCCCGGTGCATTCCAGGGCACTGGCACCCGGGGTGGGGGCTGGAGGCCCTGTAGGCACTTCCTTAGACTCTCCTCCGGCCTTTACTGGGGGAAGCCTCCTGGAAACCAGTGCCCTGGCGCAGGCCGGTCCCCTCCACCCCCGCCAGCCCCATTTCCTGTGCACAGGGGCCTCTGCTGGAAGAAGTCGAGCTGTGCACAATCACCCAACAGCTGCGTGCCTCTTGCTACTCAACCTTTTTGCTTCAATAAAATGGGAAAGAGGTTTACAAAAAAGGGGAATTAGAAACTTCTTCAGCTTTCTGCCTGAATGTTTCTTCTTCAACTCAGGTCACAAAAGCCTAATGATTATTTTCCCTTAGCAGAAATGACGTAAACTGATCTTTTTCTTTTGGCAAGGAATACCTAAGATCATTCCGCCACGGCCAGCCTTATCCTTTGAGGACTAATAATCATAAGCCAGCATTTACTACTCATTTTCCCATCCTAGGCGTGTACGTCCGCACCTTATTTAATCCTCACAACCCTGTGAGATAGTAATTACCATTAACCCATCTTAAAGATAAGGAAACTGAGGCTTAGAGTTAAGTGACTTGTCGAAATTCAGTATGTGTTGGAGCCAAATTTGCATATTGGGGCTTCAATATCGAGCATGAACTTATGGCCAATGCACTACATGCAGCCCTGTACACACACACACATACCCCACACGTGATTTGGATTTTTTTTTTTTTTTCCCCCCCAAAGCCCCAGTAGATAGTTGTATGTCATAGCTGCACATCCTTCCAGTTGCTGCATGTGGGACTCGGCCTCAGGATGGACGGAGAAGTGGTGCCTCGATGCACACCCGGGATCCGAACCCGGGCCACCAGCATCGCAGCGCGCGCACTTAACCACCAAGCCACAGGGCCGGCCCATGATTTGGATCTTTGACAAGGCAAAATCTTGTTCATTGTGTTTGCAAGGTTGACTAATTAGCAAGGTTGACTAATTAAAAATCTTTTTGACTAATTAAAAATCTTTTAGTTCAAGCCCCAAAAACGTGGATAGGAAAGCATGCCGGACACCCTCCTTCAGCTGGATTCCCATGATAAAGCGCAGGGTCCTTCACCCAGCGCCTTCCTCACCAGACACCGCTGTGGCGTCCAAGCCCAAGGAAGTGGACGACCAGCGGTCCCTCAGCTGAGAGAAATCAGGCACCCACACCGCCCTCTCCAAGGCCCAGCTGTGTCTGATCCCTGAGCTCCTGCCCTTATCCGTTAGAATGCTTTTGATCAAAAAATGAGAACACCTCCGAGTGGATTAAACAAAAAGGGGCTTTCTTTTTTTTAAATATCACTACGAAAAGATCAGAGATAGGTAGATCTAGATTTTACATGGAACCCTCCCTATTTTAAATGTTAACACACAATTCAACTGTTTAAATCACTGTGTGGGCCAACAAAATCACCTGCTGGCCAAACATGACCTGTGCACGACCTGACCCACACTTGCTACAGCTGTACCTTCAGGATGAACAAGCAGGGCAACCAGCTGACGGCTGACGGCTGGCCAAAGCAAACTGTTTCTGTTAGGAATGCGTGTCGGTGTGCCGCGGAGACACAGGGGTGACATTTAGACTCAGAATAACTGACTCCAACAGTGGTTTTGTCTGTGACTTTTAGGGTTTTGTACAACATCACTCTGGTTCATATCCTCTGATAAGTCCATTAGAAAACAAGAATTCCCCCTTTCACTTGGAAATATTACTAAATACCTTTTCTGCGAAACCCTTCTAATTTTAGGTGCTTATTGAATAGATAAGATTGCATTCATAGTCACTCTGGGAATATTTTGAAATGCTTTGAATTTCCCTCACAAACAATGCCCACTTGTTTTCCTCCCTAAATCTTACCAAATTGGGGAACAAGTTTCATATTTGAGAGCCAGAGGGAGCCCAAGAGAATATTCTTTCTGTCTCAGGTCTCTTGTCACTTTAGCAATGCTTGGGGAACATATCTTTATTTTTCCTGCACTCCAGTTCACTTTCATTCCAATAGAGAAGAAAATCTTCCTACTTACTTTCCAAGTGACTTCCCATGGAAGTCACCTCTCACAATGAAGAGCCAAGTAAGGGAAAAAAATAAGAAGAGTTATGGTGAACGTGAAAGAGAAAATTACCATTTATATTGTTCTCTTTGTTCTAAAATGGAGAGATGTAATCCTGTGAACTGCCCTCTGAACTCTCTCAGGAATGTGCTTTGCAACCAGCATGGCAGAAGGACCTGATCCTGGTCTTGCCACTCTCTCTACTAATGTCTGCATAGCTACTGACAGAAAGAAAGCCTTCTCAGAGATCCAGTACCAGAGTAAGCACATCAGACTGCTCCAGCCAACGCGGCAACACCACCCTCCTGAGACGGTAGAAGCCGCTGACCGCAGTGCCACACCAACCGTGGCAGAGCATTCTGGATGTTGTTTTCTCTCAGAAACATTTCTCTCCTTTGATAAACTGTTGTCAGCACATATTTTTGTCCACTCTTTAATTTATTCTTCCTTTACAAATTACATCTTTTTCCCCTCTTAAAAAAATTTTTGAGACATTTGCCTCTATTTACTTCATTTCACTATTGCTCCATGTGCTAAGTGGGTGATAATGATTATGACGTTAAAAAAGCATCACCACCATTTGCTCAGCATTTATTCAGTCCCAGACCCTATCTGATTAGTCCTTACAACTACCTTTGAAGGTTAGAGATTATTATCTCCATTTCAAAGATGAGAAAACTAAAGTCCATAAAGTGGTTGCCGAAGGTCACAAAGCCAGTAAGCCTCAGAACCTGGATTCTGATCCCATAAGTGTGGCTGGAAACCCTACCGCCTCTGGGACAAGAGGGTCACCCCCCAGGAGGGTGCTTCCATTTACAGACCCCTCGCCAAGTGCCAGCACTGCACTGAGCCCTTTAGCTAAATTTTTTTTTTTTTTTAAAGATTTTATTTATTTATTTTTCCCCCAAAGCCCCAGTAGATAGTTGTATGTCGTAGTTGCACATCCTTCTAGTTGCTGTATATGGGACGCGGCCTCAGCATGGCCGGAGAAGCGGTGCGTCGGTGCTTGCCCGGGATCCGAACCCGGGCTGCCAGCAGCGGAGCGCGAGCACTTAACCGCTAAGCCACGGGGCCGGCCCTAAATTTTTTATTTATTCTTCAAAACAAACTTCCAAGGTGAGTGTAATTATTGCCATTTTACCACAGGAAAACGGAACACAGAAGTTAAATAACTTGGTTAAGGTTACAGAGGTGGTAGAGGCAGAACTGGATGTACACTCTGGCCCACCAACTTCAAAGCCCACCTCACGGGGCGCCCGGCACAGAAAACGCTTGTTTCATGCAGAGGAGTATCCTCCCTGTCTCTCAGCAACAGTTCCTTAAAACAGGATTTTCAACAGTGACTATTTGTCAAGTAAGAATCTTCTGAGGTACAGCCCTAAGTCCAGTCCTCCATAGGCTCTTATATATACACTGAGGTGACACAACACGCAAACGAGGAAACTCAGATACCCAAGGACAGGCCAGGACTGCCTGCATCAATTTTCTTTTTAGTCGCTGGACCATGGCCTAAAACTTCTCAGTTTAAAACCAAAACTATTATCCAGTTAGTCTTACTTTTAAAGCCAAATTCTCATTGCTGGTCCATTCCATAACCAATTACATAATTCTTCCCAGAGAAAACCCTTCAAATATCTTAGTCTAGAGTCTTCAAACTCTCCCAGTTTATACCAGGTAGAATAAAAACTTGGCCAGAGCTAAATGGAAATTAATGCCCCACACTGTACTGGGCACAACTGAATGTTTATGGAATGATTAAATAAGCCACAGATCAAATAGCAAGTTGTCAATGCAATTTATGTAACTTTTAAATTTTGATATAATTTCAAACTTACAGAAATGTTGCAAAATCAGTACAAAAACATTCTTATATACCTTTACCCAAACTGGCTACTTATTAACATTTTGCCCCATTTGCTTTATTATCAATATAATTTTACAGACATGATAATGCATAATAAAACAATTTTACAGCAATTTATAATTAATCAATATGAATAAAATGATTTAAACCCAAGCTAAAGGGAACACCACTCTGCTGCCAAGATCAAGTCTAGATCTAACTCACAGGCTTTGAATTGGAAGGCTCATTGGATTTAGCCAAATCTGAAGCCCAAACATCATGATAGGCGACAACCTACGTCAGGACACCCAAATCTTCCAAGGTGACCACAGTGACATCCATTTCAATGTGAGCTTATTTTTCTAAGGAGAATCACTCTAATGGCCTTTGAAAAAAAATTGTTATTGTTAAAACAATATTTTGTAACAAAATCCACAAATGAAAAAAGAATCCTACCCCAAAAGTAATCAATGTCAACAATAAACCCCCCAAACTTTCCAGCAACAATAACCAATATGGCCAATGCTCATAAATCTCTTTCTCCTGTGACATTTGAACTCCCATTTCCTCCAGAAATAATAACAGAGCAGTTTTCTTTTGATTATCTGGTATTTCTCAAAGCTAACTATGACAGGCTTACAGGACCTCACAACCTTCCACATCTGGTTCCACAGACACTGCAACGGTCACATTCCTGGGACTCCCTGAGAGGCTATCTGTGTGGACTTCCTTCTCTGGGTAGGGAGAGGCAGTGGGCTGTAACTGGTTCACGTGGTGCTAACGCTGTGAGGGGAGGGCTGCAGACACAGTCCTGGCACAGACCGGAGAACGCCGAGGCACAGCCTTGCTGGGGAACAGCCTGCCTTGAAAGAACACACCACACACTCTTCACGGAGAGACGAATCAGATGCGCAGCACCAAGCACGTCTGTTTCCGGCTTCTTCAACTTGTCCCTGGCTGCCTTCAGCCCCAACGGGTTCCTTAGAAATGCTTTATTCCGGTGTCCACTGGAAAAACAACCTGGGTTCCCTCAGTAAATATCGGTCAGGGAAGTCACCTGCAAAGACTGCTCCAATTCCCTCTTGCTGGTGGGTTTCCAAGGGTGAAATACTACAGCCCGCGTCTTCTCGGTCATGAGGAAGCCATTGTCACTGAATCTCCCCGGGATGCTCCCCACATCCAGCCAAACAAAGGGGGCAACAGCTGAGGTTTCTAGATCAAAAACAAACGTGCCGCCATGCGGCGAGACGACGGCCTGAAAGAAAAAGACAAATGAAGCGAAGGATGAGAGCAGAGCTCTCCGGTCCATACACAGCACCTGCCAGAACATTTACGTGGGCCTGACAAGGAGTGTATTTCCTACAACTTTGGTTCTACAACTGCTAATGTCATATACTCCATGCACTGTGTCAGATATTGAAAAATACACGAAAATTTATTTAAGGCTCTGGAAAATTACCAAACTATAATCTCAAACCAAGTGTAGAAATATGCAGTCTCCAATTATTAAGGGGATTATTTCACACAAAGCTCAAAGCTTTATATCTTTTACAGTTTTCCTTAGGGAATCATCAAGAGAGGAACATGTCTGCGTGAAGGCTGGGCAGTTTCAGTGATGTTTTCAGGACACACCTGGAGCTGGCTGCAGAGCACCACCATGCAGCTCCCCTTCCAGTCTTCTGAAAAGATCCAGCAATCTAGACAGCAGCCTGCAGGGGTTTACAAAAGCTCTCCCGTTGCAGCCCTCTCGTTTATTGCATAGCACCATAAAGTCACATTACCAGCACTTTTAACACGCGTGAATCCCACGCACTATCAGCAAAGGAGAGCACCGTTTCCAGTCTCGTCTTTAATGAGCCGAGAAGCACACCCTGCAGTGAGGCCGGTGTGCAGAGGGGGTGTGAGCCTGTCTCAGTGTGAGTGTGCAGTGGAGTGTGACCTGATACTTAAAGCTGTGCATCTGTGAGGAAACAGGACTCCTCGACATGCATACAAGCCACACCGAAGGTCTGACGTTATGTGACATAAAGAATGTCAAAGGGCAATTTTTACTATATGCAACTTTAGCCTTACACGGCATGTAGGGTTCTGAGATATAAACAAGAAAACCTACTTCGGTAGAAGCAGAAAAGAAACTTAATAAAGTGCATTAGGTAGCTCTCAGAGGGTCAGAGATTCAGGCTTGAAGGTGGATGTCAAATTTCCAAATCATGCCGCCCAGTTGTTCTGGTGAAGACCCTAAAGCAGTCACCCAGCTGGCCTGCAAGGCTGCCAGGGAGGCCCTAGCTACTGCTGCGCCAAGGCCAGAAGGGAAACCGGCACCTGCTCCCTCTTGCCGTCTTCTTCCGACTGGAAGTCCCGTCTCTGTGTATCTGACTGCAGAGCCCAGGGCTCAAGCTTGCACCCTGGCTTCAGGGGACTGGAACACAAGTTCCCAGCGTCGCCCTCAGAGAGGAACCCAAGCACCTGGCCTGTGTTAAGCCAGCAATAGATGTCAACTATTATTATCATCATCACATCCCTCTAGGAAGGGCAAGTCTCACTGAAATCCAAATAAGGTGGGACAAAGAAGGAAGTCCTACTTTTCTCCCACACTCAATCATCCCAAGGTAATGAAGGCCTAGCTAAGGAAAGAGAAAGAAACTGTTCAAAATCCTAAGTCTAGAGACCACAAGTTTGTCCGCTATGTAGTTTTTTTTTTCCTGGAAAGAAGCTATGAAAATGTATGTCATTTCCTTCATGTCTGTTCTATACCAGTTGTTACAGATAACTTAGATTTCATTATGTGCATATTCCATTATTAACTGGGAAAGAAGACACATTTTCAATTCAAGGATTAAGAGGTTTTATATGAGTATTTCTAAAGCAAATGTAAAAAATTCTCACTTAAGCCTTCTCAATGAAGTGTAAAACAAATTTAAAATTCATTAAAAATAGAGAAAACTTTCTAGAAAAATATTTTCAATCACTATGTGAAGGAGGAGAAGAAAGGAAAGGTTTTCTACCAGCTAGACAGATCCCAACTTCTCCAGCTGCACAATTTTTATAACAACACATCCTGATCACGCCATTTTTCTCTTGGCAATTATAAAGAGACGTAGTGAGTAAGCTACTTTGAAGCAATAAAGCAAAGAGAGTAGAAGGAAAATTATAAAAATTAATAGCCTCTATAATCACCAGGACAAAAAACAAGAAATGTTGGAGAGGATGTGGAGAAAAGGGAACCCTCATGCACTGCTGGTGGGAATGCAAACTGGTGCAGCCACCATGGAAAACAGTATAGAGGTTTCTCAAAAACTTAAAAATTGAAATACCATATGACCCAGCTATTCTGCTTCTAGGTATTTATCCAAAGAACTTGAAATCAACAATTCAAAGAGACATGCAACCCTATATTCATTGCAGCGTTATTCACAATAGCCAAGATGTGGAAACAACGCAAGTGCCCACTGACTGATGAGTGGATAAAGAAGATGTGGTGTACAGATGCCACTGGAGTTCTCCCTGAGGCCTGCTAGCCCAGGGTCTGCCCCACTCGCTAGAGCACCGATTTAATCCAGCTCAGCCAGGGCAGGCAGCCCACCCTAGAGACTGGCCCCATCCAACAACAAGCCCTCAGGCAACTTGTGGGCCT